TTTCAAAAAACACAATGGACCAACACCAGCAGATGACATTGCACCCCAAACCATCACAGACTGTGGAAACTTAACACTGGACTTCAAGCAACTTGGGCTATGAGCTTCTCCACCCTTCCTCCAGACTCTAGGACCTTGGTTTCCAAATGAAATACAAAACTTGCTCTCATCTGAAAAGAGGACATTGGACCACTGGGCAACAATCCAGTTCTTCTTCTCCTTAGTCCAGGTAAGACGCCTCTGACGCTGTCTGTGGTTCAGGAGTGGCTTAACAAGAGGAATATGACAACTGTTGCCAAATTCCTTGACACGTCTGTGTGTGGTGGCTCTTGATGCCTTGACCCCAGCCTCAGTCCGTTCCTTGTGAAGTTCACTCAAATTCTTGAATCGATTTTGCTTGACAATCCTCATAAGGCTGTGGTTCTCTCGGTTGGTTGTGCATCTTTTTCTTCCACACTTTTTCCTTCCACTCAACTTTCTGTTAACATGCTTGGATACAGCACTCTGTGAACAGCCAGCTTCTTTGGCAATGAATGTTTGTGGCTTACCCTCCTTGTGAAGGGTGTCAATGATTGTCTTCTGGACAACTGTCAGATCAGCATTCTTCAACATGTTTGTGTAGCCTAGTGAACCAAACTGAGAGACCATTTTGAAGGCGCAGGAAACCTTTGCAGATGTTTTGAGTTGATTTGCTGATTGGCATGTGTAATGCCAGGCCAGCAGAGGGAGCCCTCGCCCAAGTATTGACTGTCACGCGCCCTCTGCTGCCTCGTTGGTGACTTCCTGTTTGGCAGCCATAAAGCATGGCTTGCCCAAACACTCTCTGCGAAGTATTGCCAGTCTCACTGCCTTACCGAGCATTCTATTACCATTGTCTATTGATATTGTGTATGACTCCTTTCCTGTTTGATTCTACTTCTGATTATTGGATTTTCCCTCTGTTTTGGCTGCCGATTGGACTGATTGACTGTGTTTAGACTACTGCCTTTCTGACACTGTTTCTGGATTGCCCTTTAAATAAACTTCTGCATATGGATTCTCACTCGGCTTCAGCCTCCTCGTTACAGCATGTCACCATATTCTAATTTGTTGAGATAGTGAATTAGTGGGTTTTTGTTAAATGTGAGCCAAAATCATCACAATTAAAAGAACCAAAGACTTAAACAACTTCAGTCTGTGTGTATTGAATTTATTTAATACACGAGTTTCACAATTTGAGTTGAATTACTGAAATAAATGAACTTTTCCACGACATTCTAATTTATTGAGATGCACCTGTAGCATGTCCAAATTCGCAGTTTTTATTAAACAGTACATGAAAATAGTAGTGTGTCCAAATAAAATAGTATGTGAAGAATAGTATCTGAATTTCCAATTTTTTATAAAACAGTACGTGAAAACAGTAGTTTGTTATTATGAATTCTCAGTGTTCATAATTAATGTGTAAATGTAGTGTGGATGTAGTAAAATTTTTAAGGATGTAGTAAAACGTCTAAAATTCACTCATACTACAGTACACGCATTCATAATGTAGTAGAACATACTTTTTATACAGTTGTGTAGGAAGTTCTTATTCAAATGTAGTACTTTCTAAGGGTGTGCTTTACACTTAGCAGGTTGTGTTCGATTAAAACAAACTCTGGTACAGTTGCTCTGTTAGTGTGGTTCACTTGAATAAGAGTGAACGCTGCCATCCTAATCTTGGTGCGCATCAAACATGCAAACTGAGACCCCCTGAAAAAGTGGTTCTTGGCCTGCTTCCAAATGAACTCTGGTGCGGTTCAGCCGATATGTGTATAAAACCAAAGACCAAAGACATCTAATCAACCCAAAAACAGGACGTGATGTCACAAGTTGTGACCCTAAAGAGGACAGAATGCTCAAGCATGGTTCTTTTTATCATAGGAGCTTTGCTGCCCATTACATTTTGGTACAGGCATCAGAACTGCTGTCTCATTACAGCAGATATGTGTGCAATGGAGACATTGCTGGATCTGTTTTGACTCCTATACACATTTGAAAAGTTCTTGGTGTGTTATAAGCTGGAAAAAATAACACTTTTAAACACATACAATGTGCACACAGCATTGTTTTAGATGTTTGGTAAATTTGCAAGATACAAGTCATATACGCTGTCCAATCAGGTTATGACCATAGATTTATACCTTATGCTTTGCATCTTTAGGTTCAGTGTTAAAAATTACAGTGTGAACGCAAAGCCAACCAAAGGACCAAAAGAACCAGGAGAGTCAAACTACAAGTATAAACCACTGCATATGCATGTTTTTTTCTTCAGTGTAACACAAGATAATATATTTTGAAGCATTTTGTGCATAAGTCAATTTAAAGTCAGTGGGGTCTGTTATTGTTTTGGACCCTGCTGAGTTTTATTTTATGGACAAAAACTGTTGAACCTTCTTTAAAATACTTTCCTTTGTGTTGCACAGAAGAAAAAAGTCATACAGGTTTGGAAAGAAATAAGGGTGGTTAAAAGATGCCAGAATTTTGGCTGAAATATCACTTTAAGCATTGACATACAGAGATGATTTAACCTCAGGATACTGCTGGTAGGCACAGGCTAACTTAATGCTTCAATGATCCCCGGCCCAGTCTAGCTTCAGGGGAATAACCCCATTCTTGTGAAACATCTGCATTCAAACAGACAGAATACAGTGTAGCTGGTTAAGACTACACCGCTTCAATCAAGAAATCAATCATTCCCTGCTTGTTAAGTTTGTCTAAATAGGTTGTAAATTCAGCATTCTTATTTTTGTAGTGTGCCGTTATAATTACCAGTTTCAGTCTCGCCATTGCGCTTGGAATAGTAAGTATTACACAGACAGGCAGAGAACATTTCCACATAAACATGAGCAGGCTCCGAGGGAAATATGGGGAAATGAAAAGGTGATGATGGCTTCCTATAATTCTAATAATGGCCGGCAGATGAAGACTGCATTAACATTTGGTGGTTAACGTTCATAACTCTTCGACTCTGCGGCATCACTTTTCTATATTATTGCCACAAAGTCCTCTGTCTCACCTCATGTATATTTCATGAGTGTTGCTCTTTTCCTTACCATTTAGTTCTTTGTGGAGTGCAAATACTGGGAACTGATGAGCAGGTCATTGTATGGGTAATTTTTAGGAGAGGCAAGTTTTGAGATTTTCTTTTTTCTTTTTCCTCTCAAGATTCCTTTAAATTATCGCTATAAACAGAGGCGGTTTGCTCTTAATTAGATGTTTTTATTCACCAGAATGACCCATTCTAGAGGGAAAGAATGCAGCAAAACAAAAAAAGTTGAACAGTAGCTCTGTTGCAAATAGCTGTGATATTGCTGTAATTGGAAAGTTATTGTTCAGAGACAGGTCTAACATGCTGTCTAACCATCAGGTAAATGCTAAAATCCGTTTTCTTACACTTTAAATGTTTCATTTAAAAAAGTTTTTAAACATATTTTCAAGAAAAAAATATATTTTTTATAAATATTTCTTCTTTAAATAATGAACATTTAAGATGTTTATTACTCCTTCTGACCTGAACAAAACCTGACTTTTCGTAGAAAGGCCCAAATATATGGAGTCTTGAATATAACACGAACATCATGATTTTTGGTAGAATTGCACAGTTTGACCTAAACTAAACTTGCTGTTTGATAAGAATGTTTAACTATGTGGTATATATTGTTCAAATGTTTGAGGTCAGTTTTTTATGTTTTCGAAAGATTCTTACAAAGGCTACATTTATTTGACCAAAAACGTTTTTGCAAATAAAATCACTGTTTTCTGTTTGAATATGTAATAAAATGTAATTCATTCCTGTAATGAATGCAAAGCTGAATTGCAACATTTCAGTGTCAAATGATCCTTCAGAAATCATTCTCATATGCTGATTTGGTGTGACAATTATTAATGCCAGTTGGGCTGCTTAATATTTTTGTGGAAACTGTGAGGATAATGATACATGGGGCAACTTTTTGAGCAATTTTGCCAGGCAACTTTTTTTTGAGCAATGTTGCTTGGGCACTTTCCCACTGAGAATGGGTAACAAATTTATATCTGGATACTTTAGAATGGTTGTGGGCCATGTGTCTCACCTGGGTGCCCATTGATGGCAACATTGCTCAAAAAGTTGCCCGTGTATCATCAGCCTGATACTTTTTTGTGTATTCTTTGATGAATGGAGAGTTCAAAAGAACAGCATTTGTTTGAAATATGTTTTATAACATAATGAATGTTTTTTTTTTTTTACTGTTGCTTTTGATCAATTTAGTGCATCCTTGCTGAATAAAAGTGTTAATTTCTTTAATAGAGTAGTAGTATAAAGCAAGTAAATATATATACCATTCAAAAGTCTAGGCTCAGTAAGATTTTTTCCCCCCTAAACTTTTGAATGGTGTGTGTGTATTTTAAAAGTACTCAGTACTCTTTTTTTTTGTCCCATGAAAATGAAGTGGCTTTTTAGTTTAAGTAATGATAATATTTAATTTTATTAGTATTTTTAATTAAATTTGTATTTATTAAGAAATAAAAATAAAACATTTGACAACCTCTTTCACCATATTTCAGCCTCTTTAATGCTTTTCTTTTTTATAGTCTCTAGACAGTTACACACGTGCATTTATTACACTATGCCCTACAAAATATATCAATGTGACTTTTGTTACAGAAAACGCGTATTTCAAATGATAAATGTATTTATGTTTGGGGGAATTACATTTTTTTAAGTCTATTTTTGACTAGTCCAGTAGGTGTGCACACTAGAGTAACCTGTTTAATCCGAGCACTTTGGTCTTATAGAGCACGGTCGACCACTTCCTCCTTTCTCTTAGGTTAGCAGTTGAAATGAAATACAAATTGTAATACTCGAGCCATTTAATCGAGGGCACTATTAGATTATGTACGGTACAAACTTTGCGCGAAGCCTGAAGTTGTTCCAGTTGCTGACGCTAGGAGCTGTCCGCGGTACTGAAACGGCTTGACTCAGTCTGAGAGGTGCTGACAGAAATTGAACATTCTCTGGCTCTCTCCTCCGTTCACAATTATAAATCTGACCAGAGCTCCCCGTCTCGCGCAGCCTCCTCGTTCCTCACGGCGCGGAACGTTTGCGTCCTGCTCCTCTTTAATTATTCGGAAAGTGTTTTAATACAAGGACATATTCTGTGATAGGAGCCCACTGCCGCTAGCATGAACTCGACAAGAAATTACAAACCAAACATGGTCATTCTGATTCTGGCCGTATTTGCTGGCGTGTGGATGGCACGAGGTCATGGTAAGGATTTACATGTGTAATTCTAAACATTTGTTCTGCTGTATTTGTACGTACATTTGTACGCGCAGCTCCACAGACCCCGACGGGTAGACACATTTCTCACTGTCTTGTACATTTGTTGGCGGAGAAAAAACTCCAGCAGATTTGTGTCGAGGAGGTTGATTTAAGACGTTCCACTAATACTTTGGTTGCACGCGAGCTGAAATGTTCTCTCATCACGCGTTTCACAACAGATGCACTCGTAAGTCACAAAGTCATCGGCGTAATTGTGATAAAGCACGCACAGGATGGACAGCACCGCGCCTGACAGTGTATTTCCTGTTTGCTCCACACTCTTTCGTATTTATTTACAGCATTGTATTATTTTTATTCGAGCCGGAGATCTATAAGTTTCAGTCTCTCGTTTTCGTTTCCCATTTTTCTTGTGTAATGGCTGTAAGTTCTCATTCAGTTTAATGTGATGTAAAGTTAGTACACAAGCCAGATATTTGGTTATAGATTTATCTGATCAGTGTTTTAAATGTGATCATGTATAACAAGCCGGAAAATTTGAGGTTCAACAGGTTTTTAATTTGGAGATCACTGTGTTAAGACTAAGAAACTGATTTAGAAGTGAAATATACTTTCAGTGATCTGCACCTTCACAAGTTATCGTAAAATGTATTTTATTTTAAGGAAAATTCTAGCAAGTGTACTTATTTAAATCTCTTAGACGACTATTTAATTTATTGTCACAGAAAGAAAGCAATATAATCAAAAAAAGGTGTTTAACTAAAGCACAGTGTTTGGAACATGAGAATTATGGAGATGACAGTTTAAAATTAAATTGGTCTTTTCTAATATAGGCCTCTTTTATCCTGATTTCCTTTACAGTACAAGTGAGTGACATCTTTTGTACAGTTTTCATATTTCATATCAAATATTGGTCACTTAACAAAGGGGACTATGTTACATTCTTGCCAGTAATATTTAATGTTGATATTTGACATGAGTTTCTCAGGATTTGCATTAGTTTTGAGGATTCTATCAGTAAAGAGCTTTACAAAGTTCATGTTCATTTTTAAAACATCATAAATATCATACAATACATGCATAATATAACACTAAATGCTAGCCATGCATTTTGCTCACTGAAACCTGCTACAGTCATTTTCAAGGCACAGTGTAGTCCATGTTGCACTTCATTTTCACTCCAGAAAGCTGTTGTACACTACCTCAGAGCTCTGTGTTGTTTTTAGCTTTTGTTTGTCTCACTCTTTTTTTTGTCTTACTGTAAAAGCTCTGCGAGCAATACAAGGGATAATCCAGTGTTATTTGTCAAGAGCTGCTCCATGCAGTATACTTCTGAGAGATGCGCAGCACTCAATTTTCTGCGTAAATGTTCTATTCAGTTTCATTTTCCTTTAAAAATAAGAACTGCATGTCAACCAAATTATATTTTTTAATCTATACATAATTTCCGTCTTGACGTTCTTCCAATTCAAGAATACCTTTGCACTTTTACTCACCTGTCACTCGCTGCTGCAGAGACACTTGCGAAGCAATCATCTGACAAGCCCCTCATCATTCGGGAAGAATCTTTAATTTGCAAATGTGATATGTTTCATAGTTTTAGGTGGCAGAATTTAAATTGCGCTTCATATTTGAGACAGAGTGTTCCCAGCCTGAGTCTGTTGTCTCAGACTCATCTTTTCTGTCTGTACTAATTACATTTTGCACTGTATTGATTACATATTGGTGATTGGAACATTGACCTTTCTGCTTTGAGAGGTGTATGAGTCAGTGTTTTCCAATCAGTCACCTTCAGGATGGGTGTGATGAGGCTTCAGGGCTGCGCGCTGAATGGCTCTTACCTTGAAAAGCACTCTGACTAATGCACAGCTCCATCATTCCACATTGAGCACAGACAGCAGGCTAAAAGCAGGGCCCACCACTCACAAATGGATGATGGGCTATACAAGAAACACAGGAAGGTCAGTGGGTCAATTTGCTCGGGTCTGTGCTGTCCTTTTGTGATAGATGTAAATACTCATTTAGTGCATGCACACCAGGAAACGCACACAGGAAAAGATGAATGTTAATGTGTAAAAAAATATGTGACTCATGTTACGGATGTTTTGAACAAGGCAACGGTGCATTAGCAAGTATGAATGTTTTTAAATGAGGTTCACTGGCGTACAGGACAGCCCCACGGCTCCCTCATGGCATTGTGAGCAAATGATATCTGGTTAAATTTGTAATCTGCAGCAGTGTTTACTACATACAGTAACTGCATATAAGCATATACAGTATGTATATATGGTGCATAAGTGTACATGAAATTAATGAATATTTTGCATGAACAAACCGAAAGAAATCATGTGTGCTGATTGTCATGACAGAGCAGCTGGTGTAAAGATGCTGTAGGAACCTTTACCAGCTGCTTCCCTGTAATGCAACGTTAAGATTTTAATGGAGCTCCATTCTAGAATCTTTGCTATGGAATCACTTCTCTCATTTACAGCAGATTTACACTTTTTTACACTTTGACAGAAACCTATTAATCAAAATATTTGAACATGGCAATGAAAATGCATAATAAAGATAAAAGAAATAGGGATGTGTCATGTATCTGTACCATAGTTTTGAGTAAAATATGCGGGTTAAAATTGCTTAAAAAAGACTTTGCAATTGTTGTTCAACAACAACAAAAAAATTCCTCTGACATTTTAAAGTTGCAAATAAGTTACAAGGACAATGGTTGCCTCATTGATCAAACATGTAAACTTTCATCCTTGTGGTAGCTGTATTCCATATTCATATTGGTTAATGATTGCTATTAGATATATGTAATACTACAAATTTAATAACAATATTAAATGTAATCTTTAGCAAATCTCAAAAATGAAACATTAATACTGTGCATTACAATGTTGTGATGCTTAAATTCTCTTTTCAGATTTTGTTTTTAAATTTCACTTTTCCTAAATTCAGGTCATTAACTTTAAATTTTTATTTAGACAAAATATTATAGAATTGTATTATCAGTTATTTATTGGTTATTAACATAAAAATCAGCCAGAATTGTATCAGGGAATTGGTGCATCCCTAATAAAAATAAAATAGTATTAAGGCTAAATTGCCCAAAATAACATTAAAGGGGTCATATGATGCAATTTCATTTTTTCCTTTCTCTTTGGAGTGTTACAAGCTCTTGGTGCATAAAGAAGATCTGTAAAGTTGCAAAGACTAAAGTCTCAAATCCAAAGAGATATTCTTTATAAAAGTTAAGAGTCAGCCACACCTACCTAAAACGGCTCGTTCTAACACGCCCCCACATATCTACGTCACGATGTGGGAAGATTTGCATAACGCCGCCCAAATGTTCACACAAAGAAAGAAGGCGTAACTTTTCCCTGTCTTTTAAGATCAAGCAATATCACTCAATCAGCAATTTATCAGTGCCCTTTGTCGGCCCAGGCAGTGCAGGAGAAGAAGGATGGAAGGGGCAGTGATTGTCAGCTTGACCTCTTGACCCCCCCCACACACATTCACTCAGCTGAGGTTCAGCTGGAGCTATGAGGTTGAGCGTCTGCTCTCATAGTCTTTATTACAACCCTGATAAATGAGTCGGCTGGATGGCCTACCACTGCAACTTCTGTAATGCTGACAAATGGTCAGCTGGGACGGCGCTCAGCAGACAGTACTGCTGGGAGAAATCTGGACGCTGCCAGGGTGCCCCGTCCCCCCCGCCATCAGCACAACTGGCACATATACACCACGGGCGTTTCCTCTGAGGCGGCAAGGGAGGCAGTGCCTCCTTGAAAATTCGTAGAGAAAATATCCGTAGTCCAGAAATAAAATAATTATGAAAATTATAGCATGAAAAAAACGTATATAAATCAACTCATTTTTATAGCATACGTAACATAAAAACATGAACACTGTGGCTTTGGTGGGGGTAATTGAGAGCAAATGGGGAAACGTCTATTAAGAGGAGGCAGTGCATCCATTGCACTATGACTGGCCTATTACGCAGTTAATTTGATAAATCCTGTCTCGTTTTCATGCACATCGGTTTAAATGAATAAATATAATGTGAAGACTAATTAAAAAGGAAGTAAACAACTCACCTACATAGATACCATGTAAAAATCAAACTTGAAACGAGTTGAAAACACGACCTGTAAGGGTTTCTTGGTGAGCAGTCAGCTTCTTAGTGATCAGGTTCATCTTTGTGTCTGTGACCATCGTGACACTTTTTACCTGTCAGTGTTTACTGAGCTTTGATGAATGATGATCCCAAAATACGTTGACTAATAAAATAACATCAGTTCACAAATAAAATAAACATGAAATTAGAATGTTGTTACTGTTTTTATAGTTATTATTTTGGAATACATGTAAAATGCTTAATACTAACTTGAAAAGCTTGAAAATCTGGAAAATGTGCCAACATTAAAAGGGATAAATCACCCAAAAACAAACATTTTGTCATCATTTACTGACCCTCATGTTGTTCCAAACCTGCGTGAATGTCTTTATTCTGTTGAAACCAAAAGAAGATATTTTGAAGAATGTTGGTAACCAGACAGTTTCTGGGGAAAAAATACTTTGGAAGTCAAAGGCTGTTTGGTTACCAACATTCTTCAAGATATGTTCTTTTGTGTTCATCAACTTGAGGGGGAGTAAATGATGACAGAATTAAAATTTTTGGGTCAATTATCCCTTGAAGTGTAACTGGAACATTAGTTTACATTGGATTAAAATAAAGCGTATGAAAAACAGTGAGGACTTTGCCTTAGATCACCACTGATACACACACAGTTCTTCCTGTGTTACGTGACCTGCTCTTACCAACATACAGTAACTAACCCACTTCAACAGCATTTGAAGTTCTTTTGTAGCGGCTATGTCTGAACATCTGTGCTGCCTGGATGATCAAGTGACTTTGTCAGGCTTCCAGAGGCCAGATGGTAAAGATGGAAAAGTAGGGAGTTCAGACGTAGAGATGGGATTGA